AGAGCGCAATGATGGTGCCAGCTTGGGCCAGTGAAGCAACATCCTCCACAACTAGACTGAAGAACAAAAGGACAGCAACTTGTCTGTTCCCCTTCCCCAACCCCCCATAAAATCTTAAAAAAATAAAATAAAATAAAACATAGTTAATCTCGGGATAAAATTACACAGTGAATATTTTACTTTCCAGAAAATTAATGAATTCATATGTTTTGGCAAAATCCCTTTGGGATCAGCATAAAAGGAACACTCCCCCATTTCACTATTTATATCACAATCTCTGTTAAGACATTATACAATAGACGTTAAGACCTCAGGCTTTCAAATTGCAAAACAATAACCATTTAGACAGACTTACTGATCTTCGCAAAAGCGTTTTTCAGGTATGTCTGTATGTTCAGTGATGTCCAGGTCAGGGCAGCCAGGCCAGGCTGCAGAGCTTTGTCCACTTGAGCCAAGTGAGGGATCATCAGTTGCTCGAGGGTGGGAGGCATTTTTGACTTCACTCTCTGATATTCAGCCAACATCATCTGCAATGAAATGGAGGTTAAATAATCAATTAATATCTCACTTTTAATTTCTATTAATACCTCTTTTTTTTTTTCATCCAAAAAGATGATTTTTATTTCGGGTCCAGCTGTAGGGCAACAATAGCAGCCTGGCAGGTAGAGCGGCCAAAACAAAACAAAAATAGAAAAGAGGACAAGAAATCTCTCTATTAAATACAAATTCCTGATCTGGTAAAAATTCAATGGAGGAGGCAAGGAAAAGGATCTAAGACTTTCTCACCCCCTACCCAGCCCAAAAGGAATGAAAAATTCTGAGGTCAAGCGACTTTTCTAAACCAGGTTAAGTCACGTTACCAGTGCCTTAGCCTGTGTATCACTAAGCTCATTCATTCGGCTTTGTACACGGGAACCACGTGCTTCCTCCACCTCTGGGCACTTCCTGTGGACTGTACTCATCACCCGAAGAGTCGAGGTCACCAAAGAGGTCGACCTCAGCCCATTGCTGGACTCTCAGGCCAAGTCCTGATGCAAGACCCAAAACATACAAGGAGTCAGGAACCAGTGTTATACCAACAAGTGCCCTTCATGGCTTTAAGTATCTGTCTAGATGCCGAAGACAACCAAATTTACATTTCCAGCCCAGATCTCACTCCTGAAGTCTAGACTCATATATGGTAAGGGCCTACCCAGGACTTCCACTTGAAAATATAGCAGACATTTTAAACTTAACGTGTCCAAAACCGAAAGTTCGATCTTCTCCAAAACCTTCTCTGCCCACAGCCAGTCTCTGTCTCAACTGATGGCAACTCCATCCGTTCAGTTCTTAGGCCAAAATTCAGAGTCATCCTCAACTCCTGTCTTTCTCTCACACCTACACACAATCCATCAGGCTATCTTGTTTGCTCCACATTCAAAGGAGATCCTATACCTGACTTGCTTACCATATCCACTGCTACCACCATCATTGACTCTCACCTAAATGACTGTATTGTCTCCCTACTTCTACTCAAGCCCTCTACAGTCTGTGCTCAGTTTTGCAGGAAAAGCGATGATCCTTTCACAACGTAAGTTGGATCATGTCACTCCTCTGCTTACAGGGCCACATGGCTTCCCATCTCCTTCAAGGCTACACGTTCTTATGTTGGTCTGCAAAGATCCACCCAATCTGGCCTCCATCGCTTCTCCCAACTCATCTCTAATCACTCTTTTCCTGTCTACCTGCTCCTGCCCTAATGTCTTCCTTGCTGGTTCTTAGCCCCAGGGCCTTTGCATTTACTTCAAACAATTACTCAGATGCCTTCTTCTCCATTAGGCCTATCCTGACTACCTATTTAAGACTGTAAACCATCACCAATAACCTCCTATACACTCTATCCTCTTTGCCCTGTTTTTTCCACAGCACCTCTCACTTTCTAATAGACTATATAATTTACCTATTTATAATGTTCATTGCTTATTTTCTGTCTTACCCAAGTAGAATATAAATTCTACAAGGACAAGAATTTTGTCTGTGTGCCTGAAACAATACCTGGCACACAGGAGGTGATCAATCATACACCTCTCATTAGTTAATTAGTCATCAGAAGGAGCATTTGTGATCAGAAACTCATGGATTCAGTCTCCATTGAAATTTACCACTTTTATAATATTGAACTGTGTCAGTATTTTGCTCATATGTTACCATTTTTAAATAAGAGTAATAGTACTTACATCCTACCTTTTATGGTAATGTTAATATTAATAATAATTCATTATAAGTAACTTTTAAGGTATTGCTTAAATACAATTGTTTTTAAGCTCATATTTTTGGTGTGCATGTTGGTGTTACTTTGTCATTCGATCAATGTTTCCCGGTGTTTTCCCTGAAACACGAGAGATGCCATAAGAAAAATGGTCTCTGGATGCCATAAGAAAAATGGTCTCTGGATGGACAAGTTTGGAAAATGCTGTGCACAACATTTCCCCTCTCGGACAGACAATTAATATTGATGATGCTGAGAAAACTACAAGAAGGAAGTAAGAAGCCCAATGGGCTTTGTGAATTTCAATAAGCCCAACATTTCCCAAATGGGCCACATAATCTTTTTGTCATATAACGCTTTTCCACAATTTCTATATGTCCTTTCAATTTCCAGGAAAGCCACTTTTGAAACGCCTACATTTGATGGTTCTATTAGCAGCTACTTATACATTTCCTGAAACTTTTCTCCACTGCTTAACTTTTTTCAAAGTCCATCACTTATTTTATTTGGGAAGCAATTCTTACAGTCAGCCTTCTATATCCCACTCTAATTCTTTAACTCCATGAATTATTTATTAATCTGTTTTATAAATGAGAAATGGGGGCTTAGGAGGATAAAGGCATTTTCCCAAAGATAATGGTTTGAATCCAGATCAAACTGGCTTTAGAATCTATGTTTGTAACTATTAGTGTATGCTGGCTCATCTGTTTCTAGTTTGAACTGAATTTCAAGGAATAGGTGAAGAAAACAAGCTCTCAGCTATTCTGGCTTATCATTAGAAGCCTGAAAGCTGTTAAATATTCAGCACAAAACTCTGCAATACCTAAGAAGTTCTCCCAAATCTACCATTAGATCTGTCTTACCAGATACTCATGTCGGGCAGGAACCATCAACTCTTTCAACCTCCTAAATACAATAAATGTCATCCAGGTGATAATTTACTTGCTCAAATTGTCATTTACAACTGTGATGGTTTTAAAACATTCTTTGACCCTCTACTCACGGGGTGGGGTCTATGTTCCCTCTTCTTGAATCTGGGTGGGCTTACAGAGCTCAACAGAGTACAACAGGAGTGATGCTATGACACTGAAGCTTCTCCTTGTTAACTGTAACACCCACTCTGGGAACCCTGAATTGCCATATAAGAAATTCTACCACCCGAGGCCTCCATACTGGAAGGCCACACACAGATCTCCAGTCCTTAGTCACAGCTGAGCGAAGCTTCCAGCCATCTCCACCGAAGAACCAGACCTGAGAATGAGGCCAACTTGGACTTTTCAGATGGAACATCTGCCAGGTGAACTAAATAACCTTAATGACATGGAACAGAAGGTCCCCCAGCCAAGGCTCGCTTAAATTTTTTACCCACAAAATCATGAGATAGAATGAAATGGTTGTTGGAAACCACTACATTCTGCAGTTGTCTGCCATGTGCAACAGGTAACTGAAAAAATTCTGTGGGCAAAATTATTAGTAGTGATTTTATATGCTTATAAATATTATTTCTTAGTAAAAATAAAATTTCCTTTCTAAATATGTAGAGTGACTAAGTGATTTTTCCTAACATGCAAGGAAAGTCTAAAAGAGATTCCCGACATGCTGACTAGTATTTGGTAAGCCCACATTTGAGGAATGCCTGTCCACTGCCAATACTAACTTGTTAATACAACATGGAGGAGTAGGAAAACAGCAGACTCCAAGTTTGGGTTCTGGTCCCACTTCTGCCACTTATTAGTATGAGACCTTGGTTAAGTCACTTAACCTTTCTGAGCCATGGTTTTGTTGTCTACAAAATGCTATAATAGTATTCTGTCCCAATATCTAACACGGTTGTGGAAAAGGTCTAATGGAATAATAAACATGAAAATGGTTCAAAATGTAAAGATTATGCAAACGCATGGCCTTATTGGCCTTCTTCTACCTTCTTGACCACTATAAAACTGGAACGGTGGTTTCCATGTTGTCCAGTATCGTGCCTGCATCTCTGATCTCATCTCGATCGTCCTCTGGGCAGCATTTGTCACTGCTCACCAGGCCCTCCCTCATAACACTTTTCTTACCCTTGGCTTCCTTGACATTTGGTTTCCTCCCACTTCAAAGACCAATCCTTAATTTTGTTTGCATATTCAGTTTCTTCTATCAGACCTATTAATATTGGAGCTACCCAGGGTTTTGTCCAGGCCCTCTACTGTTCTATGTCTACATTCTCTTCATTGGAGATGTCATCCAGGAGAATGACTTTAAATAACAACTATATCAAAAGTATGCTTTCAACTTAGCCTTCTCCACTCAACTCCAGATGTACATATCTACATGGATAACATCTCCACTTCGATCTCTGAAAATCATCTTATACTAAAGATGGGAACTACTGATACCCTCCTGTCCCCTAAAATAAACTAGTTCCAGCCTTTGCTGTCTCCATAAATGGAACGTCCATTCAAGGACACTGCATGTTACTAAGCAAGTAAGTGGTGCAGGGTGCAACCTACACAGTAACATATAACAGCCCTACTTTGAGCAAATCCATCGAGCTACTCACACCAAAAACAAAGGAGTCATCCTTCAGTTCTCTCATAACCTGTCTGTTGTCATGATTCTTTAAGTCAGTGACCTACTACTTGGCTGACATCTAGTTCAAGCCACTATCATCTCCAACCTGAACCAGTACAACAGCCTGCACACTGGCTTCACATTGATGTTGTTCCCATAAAACCTATTCTTCACCCAGCAGTAAGAATGATTTATATTGCAAAAGACATCATGCCTTTTCCTCCTGCTCAAGTTCCCCCGATGGCTTCCTGGTGCACTCACACTTGTAACCTTGGTGCATGAGATAGGTAACAACCTGGCCTTGCCAACTCCACAGCCTCATTCCATGGCATGCTCCCCTTGGTCACGCCACTCCAGTCATCCCAGGCACCAAGAAGAGGAAAAAATAACAGTACTATACCTTCATGTTACTGAAGTTCTTTTTGTATATATCCCGTTTCTGGAAAAGGGCAGCTGCAAATGGTGAAACTTCCAGGCCCATCTGTGACATGCATTCTGTTTCTCTAAATAAGGTTAATATCTGGGGATCAAAGTTTACAAACAACTCCCCTGTGCCTGGAGCTTTCACCAATAAAGAAGCTTCAAGTCCTATGTGAATGTCTTCATTCTGTGAGATGAAATCAAGTGTTACTGTTAGAAAGCCCAACGCGTACACAGGGTACCCAGCTCAGCCATTTTGGAAGAGGGTCATAAAGTGTTCTTCCATGGAGTTGAGCTCCTCAAATTAAAGACAATGGGGTCGCTCACTCTTCTGCTAAATTCACTTTCAGAAAAGGGCTTTCAGTTTCTTGGTGGTGAAGTCGCACAGTCGATTCAACAAAATGCTGGGGTCACGATTTTCTCACACCTGACAGGTAAGTGGATGTTACAGCAGTGGTGACTTTGCAAAAGCCATTTAGCTCCCTGATACCTTCACATCTACTCAATTATTTTTTTCCTAATAAAAGTATCATAAAACCTACTAAACTCAGTTTCCAGTTATCTAGAAAACAATGAATGCCACTAGGGAGATATCTCTGTATTGGCTCAGGCACTAAAAGTTGAACCAGGACAATGAGATACCATTCTAGAGGGCTTTAAGGCTGAATTTTATCCTGCAAAATACAAAACACTTCCTGCCAACTGACAAGGAAATACATGCCGGTGCCGGTGGGGTATGAAATACGATTTGATTTAGTATAGCCAAAGAAAATAAAAGTCTACTTAGGAGACATACTCGTGTTTACTGACACATTAAGGAACTGAACGGAGAAAAAAAAAGAAAGAGATCTTAGTCAAGCAGGTAAAGGAACCAATAAACAGGATCTTCTCCCGTAGGTGTTTGTAAATTAAATGAGCTTCTGTTACCTGGATTATGATTTTTTCTTCATGGACATATTACCCTCTTTCACTGATTACCTACGTTCAACCAAACCTGTCTTATATTATAACATATCCTCAAACCCAGCTTTCTATGGGAATGAAACTAGTCAGTGCTAGTTGACTTGACAACGGAGATGTCTTTACAGGATGTAGAGACTCACTTGTTGAAGCCATGCCCGGTGGTAGAGAACCTCAAACTCCAAGAGGACCCTGGCCAGCCTGTTGTAGCTTCGAATCACGGGTTTGGCTTCCACCGTCTGCAGCACAGTTGGATGCTGCTGGAAACGCTGCATTGGTTGCTGGACCCTGTGGAAGAGCTGACGGGCCCACAGAATCTTCCCAGCAATGGGAGGCTGGTCTCGGGCCAAAGGAGGGTCGCATTTCTGCTTCGTATACAGCTTTGAGATCATGTCAATGTCAGCCCCGTAGTTTTCAAGGATACGCCGGTATTTGTCATCAGTACCAAGATTGGGTATGTTCAATCTGATTTTTTTTGAAAAAGTGAAAGGTTTGAGTTAATGGGAAGATATCTAGCAACTTCCTTTATTAAGATTTATTTTAAAACATATGCTCATGGAAGAGAATGAGATGTTTGTCATACTAAAAAATCAAAATAGTATCAATCCATCAATCCTATCTCAATAAAGTGGTTTTAAAAAAAAATAGCAATCCTTAAAATCTAGGCAAAACTATTAACTTGGTAAGAATTTTTTTTCAAAGTACTTAAATATTATGATAGGCAGTCACAAGATGCTTCAAAACTGAGATGAAATAAACTCAATCTTCTGAAGAACTTAAAAACTGTGACAATGTTATCCAGTGTTGAGAGACAATTTTATTTCTATTAGAACATGAAATAATAATAGCAATAATATAAGCTAAACTATATTCATATATACCCCAATTTTAGAAAATGGAAAACTGGGACCGGTCAAGTGGCACGTTGGTTAACTGTTGGCTTGGGACACCAGCTTTGAGAAGCAGGGCCCCGGTTTGGATCCCACATGAGGGCCAGTGACACTGCGCCCTCTACAGCTAAGATGGTGAACAACAGCTCGACCTGGAGCTGGGCTGCCGTGAGTTGCCAGCGATGGCGTAGGCTGCCATAAGCTACTATGAGTGGCTGGCAGCTAGCGTGAGCGGTTGTGAGCGGCCATCCAATGGCCAGCAAGTGACTGCCTCACCCAGGAAGAGCTCAATGATAATACCAACATGGGCCAGTGAAGCGACGTCCTCCACAACTAGACTGAAGGGCAAAAAGGACAGCAACTTGTCTGTTCCCCTTCCCCGATTCCCTAACGCTGTTTTCCTTCCCCCAATTCTCCAATAAAATCTTTAAAATTTAAAAAAGAAAGAAAATGGAAAACTGTTCCAAATTTTTACCTTTCAAATTTCTTTAACATACTTAGAGCTTGATTTGTGTTTGGGATCTTTTCAAATGTAGCATCCATGAACTTGCGCAACTCGTTCTAAAACAGAATGAGGTCTGATGATGAACAATGGATTCGCAGTGGGAAAAGTCCTACTTAGCTACAAGGTAAAAGAGCATCCCTTCCTCTGCAAACACATAGGATGTAGGACAAAATATAACAGGAAAAGTTAATACTCATCTGAGCTTGAAAGAAAGATAAAATGATCAAATGCTACAACAAAAAGGGACTCGAAAGCTATCACCATCCTAGGAGTTGGCACCATGGCAGGCTCCAGAGCTACTGGGTCAGGTACAGGGCACTGGGCTTTATCACAATGTGGGCACAGCAGCTGTGGGGTCCTAACACTGTCAGCAGATCCATGCAGAAAGCGAGGGCACTTGAAGTGCTGCCCAACCCACGCAGGGGTGTTAAATGATTTTGCCCACAAGCTGGGTCTCGAGAGCAGCAGGGGTGCTTGCCATGTCCAGCCATGGAATCCTCACACCAGTCCCCTTATTAGTTATGGGTGCCCAGTCCTACTTAGCTTCCTGTTTGACCTGTGAGTACCAGCATGAACTCTAAATCTGAACAGGGTTCCAGACTCTGATCCCCTTGACAATGGAGTCCTGGACACAACCCTAATCCAAATCACTCGTGTACCCAACCCCACCCTCCAGTGTTTCATCCTGGAGATGCCACAGTTACTAAGGCCTCCCCTCCATTCTTTGTCTCCAAGACTCACCCCCCATTCGCTCCATCCAGGGTGGTGGGAAGGTCAGTATTTTCACCCTGATTTTATAGAGACAAGGGCTGAATCCATGTGTTATTTAAAGGAGAGAGCATAGAAAGGTTAGTTAAGAGACAAAGGACAGAGAATAGGGACAAAGAAGTCAAAGGAAAACTAGTCATCCAACCAAAGATGGGCCATTCTTGACATGGAAGACAAGATGAATAATAGTGTTGAAAAAGGGTTATGGAGAATGAAAACTAGTATCTATAACTAATGCTTAAAAACCATACTGTAGAACAATTATATTCTCGGTATTATTGAAAGTGGGCACAGGCTTGAAAAGGTCTCCCCAGACACCCATTTCCTCCATTTACTTGGAAGAAATAAACACTGTTCTGGCATCCAGCCTTTCTGAGCCTTTCCTGGTCCCAGGCAAGCAGAGGTCCTCTAGGCTCTCATTCCACTTGGTGGGTTATAGCGATTCTCAGATTCTATGTCGTTTTGCAGGCCTGTCCCCCTTCTGAGTTTCTCTAGGACATCTTTGGACTATGTCTTTGATCTTTACATCCTCACTGCCTGGTACAATATCAGAATATTATACTTCTAACATAAACAGCGTCTGACAAGTTAGCGAACTTGTTGCAACAATGTTGCTAATCTTTTTTTTGATATCAGAGGTATTATTCATTATGAATTTGTACCAACTAGACACACAGTTAACCAAGTTTATTATTTAGAAGTGCTGGACCGGCCGAGTGACGCGATGGTTAAGAACTGGCTTGGGATGCCAGAGGGCCCCTGTTCGGATCCCACATATGAGGGCCAGTGACACTGCCCTCTACAGCTAAGATGCTGAACAACAGCTCAACCTGGAGCTGGGCTGCTGTGAGTCGCCGGTGACGGCATAGGCTACAGCCCCTGCTGCAGTGGGTTGCCATGGGCTACCGTGTGTAGCCAGCAGACAGCGTGAGCGGCCAGCAGCTGCAGTGAGCGGCCGTCCAGAAGCCGGTAACTGATCTGCCTCACCCAGGAAGAGAGCAATGATGGTGCCAACTTGGGTCAGTGAAGCAACGTCCTCCACAACTAGACTGAAGAACAAAACGAAGGCAACTTGTCTGTTCCCCTTCCCCCAATTCCCCAGCACTGTTCCCATCCCCCCAATTCCCCAATAAAAATCTTTAAAAAAAGAAAAAAAAGAAGTGCTGAAAGGCTGCATGGAAAAATTCAACAACCTGAACTTTTCGACAATTCATGGCTCTTGCATCACGACAATGCACCAGCTCACACAGCATTGTCTGTGAGGGAATTTTTAGCCAGTAAACAAATAACTATATTGGAACACCCTCCCTATTCACCTGATCTGGCCCCCAATGACTTCTTTCTTTACCCAAAGGTAAAGGAAATATTGAAAGGAAGACATTTTGATGACATTCAGGACATCAAGGGTAATGCAACGACAGCTCTGATGGCCATTCCAGAAAAAGAGTTCCCAAATTGCTTTGAAGGGTGAACTAGACGCTGGCATCGGTGCATAGCTCCCCAAGGGGAGTACTTCAAAGGTGACCATAGTGCTATTCAGCAATGAGGCGTGTAGCTCTTTTTGTAGGATGAGCTCATGAACTTAATTGCCAGACTCATATGTACTTACATTTCAATCATAGTACATAGTCTGCCTTCTGACTGCGAGCTTACAGGACAAATCTACTTGATTTATTTCCATAGTCACAACCCACAGCATAGAAGCCTAATACATAACTGATGTACAGTAAATGCTTATTTAATTGCAATAAATCTAGTTCTTATTAATTCATTACTTACACATTAATTCAGCACAACATTTGTGCTCCAATTATATAAGGTGCCACCCACTAGGCCACAAATAAGAAACAAAACAATTCCTACCCTCCCGGTGTTCATTATCTATCTATATTCCACATACAAGTCACTGAGGTGACATGGATCAGAAACGGCTGGGAAACGGGTGAAAACTTGACAAATAAACACTGACCGTGGAGCACAGAATCCAGACCTGACACTGTCCATCAATTTCCAACAAGAAGAATCAAGATCTATAGTCCTTCTATCTGAATCAGCCCCCAAAAGTGGTCATTGCCTAAATTATTACAGGCATCATATCTTCCCATCAACCGAAATGCTTCACAGCATAATGGTTAAAAACTTGAATTTTAAAGTCAGACTGCCTGGGTCTAATCCCAACTCTGTCACCTGTCTATTTCTGTGGCTTCGGGCAAGTCACTTAACCTCACTGCTTCGGTTTCCTCCTCTGCAAAATAAGGGTACTAAGAGCATCCACTTTTTTGGATTACTGTGATTATTAAATGAATTAATACCTATAACAGTATCTGACATACAGCATTCGCTAGTTTTATTATGATTCCTTCTACCATTAACCCCACCACCCCTCCAAAAACGCCTCGGAGCTTTTTCCCTTAAAGTGGACCAATTTCCTTTGAAACAGAAATCCTGGAAAAGAAGTAACAGATGGCCATTTTCCTCTCCTAATCAGAAAGGTACCCATTTTGTACCTCACTGGGATGTAGAGAATCCTGCATATTAACTATGGTAGACATCTATTGGGTTGATAACAAACATCTCCAACCACCCCAGGGGGCCCCATCCCACCTTTTAGCACATGACCCCACAGGTGATACGACTAGGGCTAGGCACCCACTAAAACTGGCCAAATCAACCTCTTCCTCAGGAATTTGGAGTGGGATTGGTCCTATGATACATTCTCAGCTGATGATGACCACAGTGTGCTCATGTGGACTGAAAGTCAAGAGAGCTGGTCTGCAGGGAGTAGGGGTGGCAGTGGGGGCGGGAGAAGGGAGAGAGAGGGGTGCAGGTGCAGAGTCAATCCCAGTAGCGCTGTTTCCAAGGCCAGCTGCAGCCCTGCCTGTGGGATCTGCCAGACGTCGCTGGCCATTTGCTTAAGCTATCTCTATCATAATCATTGCTATAAGGTAACAAACAAATGGAAACACACTTCTATATTCTAACAGTGCTACCTTTCAACAGAAGATGAAAGCTACTTTTCTACGAACTAAGATGGAGGACAGGCAGAAGTCTGTGATTACAGATCATTTTCCAGAGCTCTACTTATGACCCTTTAATCTATGAAAAAGATCCTTCAATTATTAATCTGAAATCACAGAACACAGGCCGAGGTTGCTATCAGTCACCTCCATGATGCAGATGCCTCTCCCTTCTGAATGGGTAATGATTAGCAGCATTATACAGAATGGAAAAAATAAACACACGACTGTCAACAGAAATTTCATTATACAACCCAACCTACATGAAGGTCATTAGTCTGCTTGCAAAACTCTTCATAATCCTGGTCAAAATCCATTTTCCGCTGGTCTAAGAAATTATATTCCTTTTTCTTTATGGTGGCAACAATATCCTGAAATATTATAAAAGAAATAAGACAATATTGCAATATTCTTGCATTACTTAATTAAATATGACCTTTAAATGCAGAACTGAACAATCATTACAAAACAAGCAACTTAAAAGGACCCCATTTCTTCAGGTACTCACATTGCTTAATGCTTGTTACAGCAGTATAATGTTGCCTGCTGCATTCAAAGAAATCATCCGGAAAGCACTTTCATGAGGTTTTATGTATTTTTAAAGAAAACTATAAAATAAAGACCGCATCTAAAAAGTTGAAGAGGTGTTTTCTCTAAAAATTTCTTACTAATCATGTCTGAAATCATGAAAAAGAAGCCTGGAGTAGAAGTTACTAAAATATTTTTCATTGAAAAGTTTGACTTCTCAGATAATAAATAAGATTTTAACAGAACACAAGCTTAGAAAGAAAGAAAATAGTTGTGTTATAATATCTACAGATGAAATACTATCCTCCAAGCCTCAAATGTCTTAAATAAAATGTCAAACCACAACCTACCACCTAAAGACTCCTAGAATTAATTGCTTCCTGCCACCCTGCAAAGCTGCAGTCTGTGACTACAAGAGTACAAATTAGGCAATTCATCTCCTTGAAAACTGTGTGACTCAAATTTTGTTTGCTCTGAATAATGAGCTCTGTGATCATTCTTAACCAGGTCCTAAGCCATTCTCAAATTCAGGAGCCCACACTGTTGACACAGGCATATAATTTTTATGAAGAATGTTGGTCTTCCTTCCGCAATCTCCTCCTCAAAGTCATGTCCATGTAAACATCGATTCAAATCTTTCAATAGTCAAAAGTGTATAAACTGCTTATTTACTTCTAAAATCAAGTTTACTAGTGAAAACAACCTACTCTTTCATGCTGTATAACTACAAAATTGGCTCTATTTAGAAATTATGTATAGATAGATAGATAGATAGATAGATAGATAGATACATAGATACATAGATACATAGATAGATATAACATATGTGTGTGTATAAACAGACCAAACAAATGTCCCTGCTCTGGGGCAACTTAATCCTTGGTGGGGGAGAGAGGGTCAGAATTTACATAAGTCACAAATATAAATGAACAGGATAGTTTTAGACAGTGATAAAATAAGTAATGTGACAAAGAGTGATTGAGGCGAAACAGAAGTCAAGGAAAACTTAATTGGGAGGGTCATTTAAATCAAGATCTGGAGGCCAACAAAGGAAATAACTGTGTGATAATCCAGACGCAGAACTTTCCAGAAAAAAAAAACTCTGCAAACCCTAAAGTGGACTCAGCTGGCCTGGCCTGTGTCTGTAAAACATGGAATGAGGAGAAAAGAAGCAGGCGAAGAGGCGGGAGGGGTGGGCAGGGCCCTGAGCCTCGTGCAAGGAGCCTGTTTCATTTCTACGACTGCCACTGGGAGCTCTGGTGCTAACACACAAAAATCTCACCTTACACTTCCATGCACCATCTACCTTTTATCTCACTATCCTCTGGTACATCCATTTTAATCAATATTTCACTTTAAATTTTCAAAGCAGTTTCTCTTCCTAGCATTTTTATCCCGTTAGAACCATCTTTGTCTGCATTGAGATGTACAGTTCAACTTCTCATTCAAAAATAAACTTTGAAATATATTCCAAAGTAATTTTTTCATTAAGACGAGAAAAATGAATAGATTCCAAATTGAAAAATAGATGGATATATTCCCTCTTCGTCTTGCAAAACCGTCACTTTCGAAGTATAGATTATCCACCTTGCAGATTACACAAAATTCACCTAAAATGTTCCAAGCTATATAAAAAAGGTCTTTTCCTTTCCCAAAATCTGGTACACTCAGGAAATGAAAAAGACTCCTTATATTGGCCTAAACTGTTAGAATACAAAAAACAAAAAACAAAACAAAACAAAAAACCTCAATGTGTGGATGTATGACAATAAATTATATGATCCTTTTCAAATTCAAGTACAAAAAAATTTAACTTTATTGTCACTGTCCCTAAACAAGAAAAAACTGACTATTCCACATTTCCACATGAAGAATTTAAAACACATTTTGTTTGTAAATTGTTTTTTAAAAATCTTCATAACGTCATTAGATCACTGTGCCCACTTTAAAAACTAATATTAGCCATATATGCACGTGTGTGTGTGTGTGTGTGTGTGTGTGTGTGTATCCTTACAAGCTAAAGCAGTTAAAAACCAAAATAACTAGGAACGGTAAAGCTCAAATAAAATTCGGTACCTTTTATTCTTTAACATGTGCCCAAATAAAATGCTTAAATGCAGAGATGATCTGACACCACCTAGAACTCAATGTCAACTTGTGCCTGACACATAGCATTTGCTTCATTAAATATTTCTTGCATGAATAAATGAAGGATAATTGCAGTTAAACATTTTCTGTGCTACTAATGAAAATGCTTCTACTAATGATGAGCAATTTTAGACTATTGGGAAGCCATTAACAACATATAAGCACCATTACACAATTCTCAAATAACTTAATCTCTTTATTGTTTAAGGGCCGTGAGCTTATATTTTACATTATGAATTATTTGAATCATTCTAAACATAGTTATTTGCATAAACTATCAAAGTTTCAGTTATGGACAAGAGTAGTGAATTTAATTTTGAAGTACAATACCTGGTATTTAGTAACCATGTCTTCCAGCCCTTCAATTTTAGAATCTTGCAGGACCGAATATGTCTTAAAGGTGGTAAAGATGTCTATTATCTTGGCAAGCCGTCGATGGAAGGTTTCAAATTTTCCAAAAATATACATCTCACTAAATTCAAACTGTTTTTCATTTGGATCTTGTTTAAGCTTTTGCTTTGTCTTGTGGAAGCAGTGCTGGTATTCCTTAAAACCAAACACCAATACAGAAGAAAGGAAAAACAACAAACATATCAACTGTATTCTCTTAAGCAAAATCAGTGGCAAAATTAGGATGGAATTGCCCTTTCGGTTTTGTGCCTTTGCATGTACTCATCCATCCGCCTGGAATATCATCTTTTCCCATCCTCCAATCTAGCAAACTCCTAATTATTCATAATGCAACTCAGAGATGTAGCCTTCACATATGGTCCCATCACGTTAGTAATAGCCTCACCTTGTGTCTATCTCCCAATTTGTCTAGAAGCTTAAGGAAAACTATCTCATCTCAGTTTTCTTTGTATCTTCCATTCTTAGTGTGGTGTTGGGACAGTACGCCCCCAAAGAGGATAGAATAAGTGGATAAATTTTCTAGGAAGGCTTATTAACACTCAATTTTCTTTTTTTTTATATTCTTTTTTTTTTTAATTGGGGAATTGAGGGAGGGGAACAGTGTTGGGGGATTGGGGAGGAGGACCAGCCAAGTTGTTGTTCTTCAATCTTAGTTGTGGAGGGCGCCAGTTGCCATCTGGCTGCCCATTGGCAGCTTGTGGCCTCTAACCGCAAGGTGTTGTGTTACAATCTTAGTTGCGGGTGGGTGTAGCCACCATCCCATGCGAGAGTCGAATCAGCAGCTTTGTTGTTAAGAGCGCATGCTCTATCCACTGAGCCATCCGGGTGGCACCTCAGCTCAAGGTGCCGAGTTCAGTCTTAGTTGCAGGTGAGCATCGAGCAGGCAGTCTTGTTGTTAGGAGTATGTGCTCTCACCAGCTAAGCCATCCTGCCACCTGTTGGCAGCTCAGCAACAGCTCAGCTCAGGCACAGCGTCACTGACCCATGTGGGAATCAAACCAGTGGCCCTGTTGCTCAGAGCTCATGCTCTTAAGCTAACTCTTAATCAACTGAGCCACTCAGCCGGCCCCAACACTCAATTTTCTTAACAGTAAAGAACTACTGTTCTTTTTGGCAACCAATAACATGATCATTCGTAAATAATTTAGGATGCATCAGCAAAAACAACATAAAAATAATGAAACATTATCCAAATATATTATTAGGCTGACCATTACCTGCTTAAGTTTAATTGCAGATAATATTTTTTCCACAACAACATCCTGCGGCTGACTCCACAAGGAAGCGGTTCCATTGTTGGTAATGTAAGCTTTACATGCAGATATCATCTGATTGGTTACCTGGAATTTTCCAATAAAGGCCTGTTAGGTACCTAAAACAGCCATCAATTATAAATTGGACCAAAGGGTCCTTAACTCTTCTACCTCTCAGAGTGTACAATCTGTGACCTTGAGTTTTGGATGTATTTGTTTCCATAGCAATAATGATCAAGCACTAGCCCTTTATTTTTCAGCTTTAGTGAGGTGTAATTGACAAATAAAAAGTATTTCTGTTTAAGTTGTACAATGTGTAATGATTTGATATACACAGTAAAATGATTACCACAGTCGAGCTAAATAACATGTCCATCACCTCACATAGTTATCCCTTTTCATGTATGTGGTGGGAGCCCTTAAGCTCTACTCTCTGGGCAAATGTCAAATATACAGTATTATTAACTACAGCCAATACCTGTACATTAGTCCCCAGAGCTTACTCATCTTATAATTGAAAGTTTGTACCTTTTGACCGACTTCTTCACATTTTCCCTACTCCCAGACCCTGGCAACCACCATTCTCCTCTCTGCTTCTATTTGTTCGACTTTTTTAGATTCCACACATATATTTGTCAAAATCATTTATGAAATAACAGAGCTGGAAGCACCATGGAAAAACCAATAATTCGGGCCCCCTTGTTCATACATGTCTTAACCAACCAAGAAATGACTCTCTCTCCAATCTAAAAGTTGTTGCAAGTTTCCCCAATCTGCTTAGGTAGCTCGTTCTAACATCCAACTCCCAGGTTCTAAGTGCCTAGTAAAGGATTGCCCACACTGTTCATTTTATGCCACCATGACGTGTAGCAATGAAAAAAGGAGAAGGCAACAGAGCAAAGAGTAAAGTTAATAGAGGTGACTGCTAACATTTATTCATCCCTCCAAACTTTAAAAAAAAAAAACTTCAGAATTTTCTTGGTAATTTTTTTTTATCAATTGAAAGGAAAATTAGATGACTACTGTGCGCATGGACTGGTGCGATGGCTGGAGTTTACAGGGCAATGGCTGGGAGTGTAAGTGAAATGAGATTGGCCATGTGTGTGGGTAGTTGCTGAATCTGTACGTGGGAGTTCAGTATACAATTCTCTTCCCTTGTGTTCCTGCTTCAAATTTTGTATAATGAAAAGTGTTTAAAATGGTGGTGTCACGATTTTGTTCAAAAACAAAGCCTGCAAATAACATGCATGAAACCTAATAATGCAAACTGACTTTTGGGTCTTCTACCCAGGCTCAAACACGTAGTTTTGCAGTGTGAGGAAAGCTGGGAAAGGACCTCGTGGGTTCCCTCTTTTCTACTAGAACATGAGAGCAGAAGCAAGCACTTCCCACTGAGCTCTCAAGACTGGATGTCCCTATTCCCGGGAAAAATCATGACTCCTACTGCATTAGTATTCACAAACTAAGTCCCGATGAGTTGAAAATTCCTCTGTTTTAATACAACACTTAAGAGTTTGCCTTGGTAATGAAAAAGTCATTTATTTCTTAGAGAACATCCATAATGAGAAAGCAGCAATGCTCACCATAAACTTAGGAGTTGGGGCATAAGGTCTAAACATCATTATGTATTTTGGCAGAATCATTACAATTGTTTTATGAATTACTAGAACATTGCAAGTGGCTTTTATTACCATGATTTCTATTCTAACAACATCAAGCAAACAACTGTGGCATCAAATAAATTTGGTACAGTGGCATATAAAATATGAAACAGGAGATAGTTAAGTATAGCTTTTCTTAATTAAAATTTACCCAATGGGAATAAATAATGTGCCAAATAACAAAGGGATTAAAATTCCAAAAATAATCTTTCCCTATTTTTATTATAAAAATTACACAATATTTTTTATAATAATTACTTTGAGAAATAATGCTTTATGATTTGCTAGAATCAGCCTCTCAGATAAACTTAATTTTATCTCTACTGAGAAATTAAGCTTTTTTTTAATTGTTGGATACAAACTCATTAACATTGGATTGTGTTAATGAAGTAATTTTTAATTACCAAAAAATTGACCAGTGGCAGAGAAATATAAGCAACCATGGACTTTATGCTATGCACTTACCTTCACAAACAGAGATGTGATTTTCTCAGAGGTGTTATAGTAATGAGAGATACTATAGATCATTTTAATTGCATTTATAAGTGTAGGAATAGCATCAATCATGGATACCTGGAAAACAGCACAAAAGTTTCCAGGGATGCAATATCAAATTAGCAAAATTCTAATAGTCCAATCATTCCATTTTCACTAAAATAAAGTTTAACTAAGATTTTTACATAAATTTTTTAACTATTATGTAACACTTTACATAAATATATTTAAGGGTAATTTTATTATTTAATCATATGCAGTTAAGTAAATTTTGTTTTACTGCAAGACACATTTGCTTTACACTAATGATAAGGAGACTGTATCAACAATCAATTTTGTAGTCAACAAAAGCAGGCACTTCTTAAAGTTAAAAGATCAAAAAACATCAGCCAATGACTCTTCCCACAGCGCACTAGGTGTAGCAGCCCAAAACATCAATTGTAATATTTAATGGAATGTAATAAATGTTTTAAAATATAACATCATATACATCAATAGATAGGTAAACAGGCTATTTTTATCTGTTGGATGGATGGATGGATATAGGTAGGTAGATAGATAGATAGATCGATAGATAGATAGATATACACATGTGTATATACACGTAATTTTCTTAAAAATAAAAAGAGATTTCGGGCTAGCCGAGTGGCTCAGTTGGTGAAGAGCTAACTCAAGAGTTTGAGCTCTGAGCAACAGCGGTTTGATTCCCGGCCCAAGCTGAGCAGCTGCTGAGCTGCCAACAGGTGGCAGGATGGCTCAGTTTAAAAAAAAAAGAGAGAGAGATTTCTAAGAGTTTTCCAACTGTAATATCTACAAACCAAACTCCACACTCAATTCAGCTGATATAAAAGAGCCATCAATAGGCTGAGAGCGTAGAAATCTTTAACTCACAGGGTCACTGCTGTACAAGGGATCGCAGCATTTTTCAAGTGTGTACAAATATTTGACATTGTCCTTTGCTTCATTAGCTGCATCGGTGATTCGAACATCCATCTCCCGCCAAGTCTAAGCATCGTACAGGAAAGCAATTTTAATGCAGTTACGGTATTAACCGAGGAACTTCCAATATAACAGCTGCTAAGAGTCACCACAAGTCCCTTGGGTCAGACTTTCAGTATGTCCTGTGCATCTTGCATAAAACTGAATCCAGAGGGGTGAAGGACATTGCCATACAGATGAGCAATTTCAATTTTTTGACTAAATTTTTAAAGCTATCTCCTGCAGGCCTTCTTTTATCAAATCTACTCAACAACTAAGACAGAGTATCGAGAGGGCAGCACGTCCCTTCCAACCCACACCTTCTCTCCTCCACAAGCTAATGGATCCACTTTGCAACTCACCCCATATATTCTGTCTTCCCTCTATTCTAACCTGAACTCCCCTTCCCTATATCCCCATACTTTTGTTTATCCGTTAATGCCGCAATTATTCATTAAGTGCCAACCATATGCCGGGATTCTGCTATGAGCTAGGAATTTCAAAATGGGAAAAACATCTAAAAGTGGGAGAAGTAAAAGGAAATGACTTAGCACAAACCAACATGTTCAACTGACTTTGTGAAAGTCCTACTAATGATATTTCTGAACTCTACTGCAATGAAATGATTGCATGTCTTTGAGCAGTGATATAAGGAAAATCTAAAACACAGTTATTGAAACAAATTATTATTGGTTATTTAAATTACTTTCATGGATTGAAATATCCATGCAAACAGCTAATAAATAGTCTTTATGGCACCAATGCCAGGTGTGCTAGGCACCTCTATGATGGTTCCCACTGACTCCTGGTATTCAAGTTCTTGTGTCATCCCCTCCCCTTGATCATGGGCTGACTCTAACGATTCACTCTAATAAATAGATTGTGACAAAAGTGATGGGATGGCACTTCTGGGATGAGTTTCCCAAAAGTCTGGCTTCTGTGTTGGGTGCTCTCTTGCACTCTCCCACTTACTTCCTTTAAGGGAAGCCAGCTGCCATGTTGTGAGGGTTCCTATGGAGAGGCCCACGTGGTAAAGAAGTAAAAAAAGCCTCCAGCAAGGAGCCAACAGCCAGCAAGGAACCGAGTCCTGCAACAACCACATGAGCAAACTGGAAGCAGGACCTCCGGAGTTGAGCCTGCAGATAAGCTGACACCCTGGCTGCAACCTCATGAGAGTTGCAGAGTCAGAGGCAACCTGCTAAGCTGCACCCAAGTTCCTGACCCACAGACTGTGGGATAGTAAATGTTTGTTTTAAGTCTGGGAGTAAATTGTAACCAGCAGTATAAAACTAATATACCAGAACTAAACATAAATAAATAAATAAATAAATAAATAAGCTTTCATTATTATTACTCCCAGTTCATCTGAATTCATAATATATAATCATGTTATGATGTTACGTCTTCATTACCTGCAATGCCCTCTAATAATATACGAGGTCTGACAATTAAGTTCCCAAACTCATCCTAGAAAAAGTGCTATATACAGATTGCTAAATATCACTACGGTCACCTTTGTAGTACTCCCCTTGGGAAGCTATGCATTGACTCCAGCATCCAGTCCACCCTTCAAAGCAATTTTGGAACTCTTTTTCTGGAATGGCCATCAGAGCTGCCATTATACTACCCTTGATGTCCTGAATGTCATCAAAATGTCTTCCTTTCAATATGTTCTTTATCTTCGGGTAAAGAAAGAAGTCATTGGGGGCCAGATCAGGTGAGTAGGGAGGGTGTTCCAATACAGTTATTTGTTTACTGGCTAGAACTCCCTCACAGACAGTGCCACGTGAGCTGGTGCATTATCGTGATACAAGAGCCATGAATTGTTGGCAAAAAGTTCAGGTTGTCTAACCTTTTCACACAGCTTTTTCAGCACTTCCAAATAATAAACTTGGTTAACTGTTTGTCCAGTTGGTACAAATTCATAATGAGTAATCCCTCTGATATCAAAAAAAATTAGCAACATCATTGCAACAAAGTTAGCAAACTTAATTGTCAGACCTCGTATATACACACATACAGGTACATTAGCCAATAAATATCTTTAATTCAAAGGCTATTTCCACAGTATCCAAAATTATAAAAGGTCAGTATTATCCAATTTTAAAGTTTTTTTTTCATAAAGGTACAATAACATTTTTCTGTTCCTGATTACTCTACAACCCGAAAGACCCTATGACATGAAATTCCCATTTCATAAAGCAAAAAGAAATGGCTGACAACCTTCAGAAGTTTCGACTTGGCAGCAGCAAGCACTGCCAACACAGCCTTCACCTCTGGGCCTTTCAGCTGCTCCAAAAGGTAGTTGAACTTGGACAGTCTTTTTTTCCAGTGCTCCAGTTCTGCCCGGGGCCCAAGGTCATCGGCCTCCTTCCGCAGCTGATTGTTTTCAGCGAGGACCTGTACACACAGGACAAACATGAACCATCGAGTAGGGCTAGAGATATGAATGGTATACATAAGCAACAAAATACCAAAATAAATAAATGATGCTATCGGAATCATGCTATATTTTTATTTTTATTCATTTGCATGCTTTGAATGACAGCCTGGTACTAACTTAGCATGTATCCATTTTGAAAAGTGCCACAAAAATGTAGTTGACTTGTTTCTAACTGAAAACTACTTACTTAGGGAGCTTTAATGAACTTTTGGAGGACCTGACCTCAGAAAGTTCCTTAGCTATTCACTTATTGTATATCGTCAAAGCAATACAACCCCCAAGCCTTAAGTTCTCTAATTTCATTTGTGCTTACTGTTTGATATAATATCCATCTTCCCTTAGGAGTTTTCTGAAAATATTTCTTTAAGGTTCAGTCTCAAGCTCCCTTTCAGAGGGCACACTAAATTAGAAAACTCTATTGCTATAGATGTTCTCATCAAAGTAAACTATGCCTTGAAAAAATAATTAGCAAAGTGCCATCTTCTAGTTACATAAATACATAGTCATTAACTTGCATCTCTTAGAAATCTTACTATCTCTTTCTAACTGATGACTATAAATTGAAACCATGTGAACCTCTCCACTTTTCAGGGACTTGTGGTAAAACAGTTAGGCAAGGGCCGGCCGAGTGGCGCGATGGTTAAGAACTCGCTTGGGATGCCAGAGGGCCCCGGTTCGGATCCCACATATGAGGGCCAGTGACACTGCCCTCTGCAGCTAAGATGCTGAACAACAGCTCAACCTGGAGCTGGGCTGCCGTGGGTCGCCGGCGACGGCGTGGGCTGCAGCCCCTGAGGCAGTGGGTTGCCATGGGCTACCGTGTGCAGCCAGCAGCCAGCGTGAGCGGCCAGCAGCCACAGTGAACGACCGTCCAGAAGCCGGCGACTGATCTGCCTCACCAGGGAAGAGCGCAATGATGGTGCCAACTTGGGCCAGTGAAGCAATGTCCTCCACAACTAGACTGAAGAACAAAAACGACAGCAACTTGTCTGTTCCCCCTCCCCCAATTCTCCAGCACTGTTCCCATCCCCCCAATTCCCCAATAAAAATCTTTAAAAAAAAAAAAAACAGTTAGGCAAATGTCATGGCCTACGATACACCTTCTTCCATTGGTTAGTTCAGCCACAGGGAAATGACGTTTGGTTTCTGGAAGTCACCTGTTCTGTTTGTTTGATCCACACTTTCATACAGCCTTCTATTTTTTCCAAAGTCTCAGGGTTATTAGCTAGAGTCAAGTAGTCTATCGGTTCCTTCAGGGTTTTCAGTTCAAATATGTCACACTTTTGAAGATTCACCTAATTAAAATGAAAATTAAATAATAAGGTGATACTTTTCAAACACACACGCACACACACACTTCTGGTTGGCCACTCTAGTTGGCTACAAGGATCTTAAAGGGATCCTCTAAACAGCCCTGCTCTCTGAAGAAAGCTCCTGAAACCACAGTGCGATTTAAAATGCCCGCCCTCCCACATTGAGCCCACCACTCCAGAAGATGGATTCTGAGGTCAAATTTGGGGTTGAAAAGAATGAATGACTAAACTGGACAGAAAGAGGGTCATAACATCACAGAATTTGGGAATTAATAGGAAACTTGGACATTAAACAGTCAACTCACGAGACCAAAGAAAGTGGGGAAGCTTCAAGGAAATTGATTGGGGGGCAGGAGTCTTTTTTAATCTATCACGTTCATTTTTGAAACTATCTAGAGCAGCGGTTCTCAACCTTCCTAATGCCACGACCCCTTAATACGGTTCCTCATGTTGTGGTGACCCTCAACCATAAACTTATTTTCGTTGCTACTCTATAACTGTAATTTTGCTACTGTTATGAATCGTAATGTAAATATATTTTTGTTTTCCGATGGTCTTAGGCAACCCCTGTGAAAGGGTCGTTCGACCCCCAAAGGGGTCGCGACCCACAGGTTGAGAACCGCTGATCTAGAGGGAAAGGCTCCCAAGTCCTTACCCAGTAATATCTTTATAGTTAGCAAATTCATTGGCAAGCAAACAGATTTGATTTTTTTTTTGGGGGGGGGGGTGAGGGTGAAGGGGATAGGGAAGGAGGTGTGTTGGATTTTGACTTGACAGTGAAACCTGGTGTATTTCTAAACACACATAATACAAAATGGACCTCCATATCTGACAAGGGCAGTTTCCTTCTGCTAAGTGTGCACCTGGCGCTGTGAGTCTCTAAATTCGGATCTCAGGCCCAATCCCACTTTACCGGCAGCAGAGCTAATGTTTCTCAGTTGGTTCAGAACCAGCCAGAAAGAGCATGGCTATTTTTCACCCTCCCATGCCAACATGGCCCAGGAGCTGCTTCATGAAGCCCAGGCCCTAAGGGCTTCTTGGAAAACCAAGGTAAAACCAAAGAGTCGTGCTAGGAGATATGGGGGTGGAGGTAGGGGGGGAGGTGCAGACTGAGGGGTGCAGGGTACCACTCTGCTCCCTTCAACACTGTTGGGCGAGGCTGTGCCCCTGCCACCGGCACCAGCTACACGGGGACACTGCAGCAGCTGGGTGGCCTTTCAAGGTTTCCTGTTTCTGTCACTTGGCTTCCTAATAAAACCCTGCCGGCTCTCACTGGCCCCCAGGTCCATCCCTGCTCAGAAGTTCTCTGTCTGCCCCTCCCACATGGGCTCGGAGGCTCCACTCTGTGCTCTGAGCCTGGCCTCCCCGATTGGTTTGCATACTGCTACCCTCTGGCAGAGCTCTGAAAACCCATGGGGGCAGCCATGTGCCTCCCCTGCCCTATGCCTTCACTCATGCTGCCCCAACCCAGAATGTCCCCCAAAACACTTATACCCCCAATCTTTCCCACTCTGCTCCTTACACCTGCCCCATCTCAAGGGCTCCTTGGTGCTAGGACTCTGGGCTTCATGAAGTGGCACTGTCTCCGCCCTGCGTGGGGGTCCATCCCACTTTTTAAATACCTCTGCAGCAAAATGAAGTGGAATCATACGAAAGCATGGCGTTTCTAGGTAGAATAACAATTCAATTTGGTTCAACTTGCAGTTTACTATCGCCTGAATCATAGTTAACTGATAATATGAATCATAGTTAATTGTTAATATAACTCAGATGTTAGCTGGAATTATCCTGCCCCAGTCTGGATGACATTTCCTCAACTCCCCAATTCCATATTCTTTAGGAAGCCTAACACCCCCTCTCTCGTCCGAATATCCCAATATGTCCCAGTAGGTCTCAGCAGTCCCTGGAGAGGGGTATCATGGGATCCATGATATACGGTCATATACTGTTATGGGTATCATGGGATCCATGCCTCTTTCTCCCATACATGCCCGGTCTGGGCTGCCATCCACCCCCAGTAACCACGTACACAGTCTTACTATAGACAGCACAGATTTTAGGGAAGGGAAGGCTCACATTTGCCAAGCTTATTCTTGAAGGTCCTTTTGGTCACTGGCTGAACCACAGGACCTGACCACTTTCTCCAGCTGCATCAATTCCTCTCTCCTTTCTCCTCTTCAGGATTTCCTCCATCCCTAACCACCACCACTACCACCATCCACCACCACCACCACCACCTGCCACAACCACCACCCACCACCTGCCACAACCACCCACCAACACCATTCACCACCACCACCACCATTCACCACCACCACCACCACCACCACCATCACCCACCACCCGCCAAAACCACCACCATCCACCACCCGCCACCACCACCACCCACAACCATCACCCACCACCTGACACAACCACCCACCAACACTACTCATAACAACCACCCACCACCACCCACCACCTACCACCACCACCCAACACACACACACACACACACACACACACACACAGAGGATCAAATTCCTTTCCTTCTGGGATGCACGGCAATGCCAGGAGCATTTCATACCCTTGTCTTTGTAGTCACACATCTGACATGGCTGAGTCTTCCATCATAGCCAACATTTCTATGGAACCCCGAATGTATTAATCACTCCAAACTATAGGAATTTAAATCTAGTCACGAGCACATCTTAAGGGGGCAATAAAAATGCCCATGAAATTTTTTCAAGATTTGCAAGGTAGTGAAATTAAGACCACCTAAGAGAAACATTACACATTTCTATGTTGAACTGTTCACCATCTGATCATTTTTGAAGGAATAACTTATTCGCTCTCACCTTCTCCTTCAGGCTCTCCTGTGCGCCTGACAGGATGCTCACAAATCCTTCCAGAGAGCTCAAGAACTCCTGCCGGATGCTGGATGCTTCCAGAAGTCCCTCCAGCTCGCCCCAGCCGTGGCTCGTGGCCCTGAGAGCGGGGATGAAGATGTCCGACAGCAAACATCTCACGCTGTTGAGCAGGCCTCCGTTTGCGGCATCTAACATATTAAAGCTCACCTCCTGGGAAACAATTAGGAGATCGTTTACTGTAAAAATTACCTTCAGTCACAATATAGCTAAGTCACTTCTGAATGTTGTTCACTAACCAACTATCCCGTGGAAGTAAACAAAGACCATTCCAATGACAAAAGCAAAGGGTATTAACTCCCAGCTTGCTGTCCCTAGGGAGGGGGACCATCACTTGTGTTGGGAAGAGACTCAAAGCAGGCAGGGGAGTGGCAAAGCTTCATATGGAGAAAAGGGAAGTCTCTGGGGGAAACGGATGGCTTCAAGGGTGCCCTGATTGGTGGCTGTTGACCTGGGAAAGCTGGAGGCGGGCTAACCAGAAGTGGGCATCCTATGTGATTGGTGAGGGGTGCACATCTGGCTTTCTCTGGTTGGCCCAGGGAAGTCCACTGAAAGTACAGACAAAAATCAAGGAGGCTGAAAGTCAAGAATCAAGCCCATTTTGGCCAATGGTTACAGCAGCTATTGTTTAGCCTTCCAGCTGGCTTAATGACATAGCAGGGTAGCTGAGTTGTTTATTATAGATAGGGGGTTGGTTTCCTGGGCAGGTTGCTGCAGGTATTATGTCAAAGTTCTATTTTTATATATGGTTCTGGCCATTGTCTGTTAGTCAGTCTTGCAATCCAGTAGATTATTATTTCCACCCTAGTTAAGGCATAAGCTAAATGCCATTCTAAATTGCAATCATAAAAATAAAAACATGAAATAAATAGAAGAAAAGATGTTTACCAGTTTATTTGCTCCAAGCAGATAATGCACCCACTGAAGGCAGGAGAGACACGTACAGATGAACTTTATTTTGCACACAAAAAAATAAAGCTATATATTTGCTTTTATAAATCTTATTTTAAATGTATGAAATTTGCCATTAAGTCAATAGTGTGTGGGGAATTCTCTTTAAAAGACTTCACTATGTGCATGCACACATGTACATACACACACACACACACACACACACACACACACATAGAAAATTATATCAAATTTTGTTAATAAGTTGAATATTAAGTCCTCCTACCCAAAAGATTTAAAAGTGTCCCTTTTTTTTGAGCCAACCTGTTGGCAGCTCAGTGGCAGCTCAGCTCTGGCCAGGAATTGAACCAGCGACACTGTTGCTCAGAGCTTGCACTCTTGAGCAAGCTCTTAACCAACTGAGCCACTTGGCCAGCCAAAGAAATGTCCTCTTAATCACATGCTTTAAATGCTTTTCAAAATACTTCTTTGTATTTTTACATATTTAATGAGCACTATGGTTGTCTCCATAGGGATGGATGTCTTTGGTGGGACTTACATGATTTTTGGTAACCAGGCTACAGGATTTCTCTGGCCCCTTACCCGGTGTATGTTCTCAGGGGTGATGGCTCTGGAAGTGTCAGTTCTGATGAAGAACACACATATTCCAGTCAGAGCAACATCTTTTCCCTCGGTCACGAACACCTTAGGTTTTTTCATCTTTCCAGAAACAGGGTTTACTCCTCCAGAAGAGTCAAGTTGTTCTACAAAGGCAAAAGAATTTTCATTTCACAAATGCTATCTGCAGTCCACGGGGTCACCTCCTGAAGCGAAGTTTTCTTGGTAAATTAGTGCCATGTTGGCTCACCCATGTGCCCTTGAACGTCCACCACTTGGATCATCTCTAAGCTGAGCCCTAAAGGGATCTAATTCCAGATTGCAGGTTCATTTCAAAATTGTTGCTCCAGGATAAAAACAGGACGGGAGAGAGCCGGGTATTAAGTAGACAACTTCAGATCAACTAGTTTTGATCAACAGAATGTTTTTAGTTTCTGAATTGAGATTGTTTATAACTTGGAGCAACCATAGGAATTTTTCTTATCCAAGAACATCCAGAAAAATCATGGGATTGTCTGAATTTTAATCCAAGATCACAAGACAAGCTACTCCCGCTGAAAAGGTTTAAAGGGGGAGTGGGAAACAAAAATAAACTAGAATTTCTGTTCATGTCTCATAAACCTTTTTTGTTTAATGTAAAATTTATACACAAAAGCCAACTTCACCCAGTGCTTAGTTGATGGATGAACTCAACATTCCATGAGTTTTGCAATCTGGGATAGAATTCAAACTTCTGTATTATTTTGGCTCGTCACTCAAAATATAATGAACTTTCTGACCATAAATTATCATTTTGGGAAAATTCCAGTCATTTAAGGTATGCATGCATAATTTCCTCAGTTTTTAAACAAAAAGTAGAGTCATATTATGTACCAACAGCAGTAACTATTTTCCCTTTCTTCAAAAAGGTTAAAAAAAGGCTGCATATGATATTTTAATACAATCATAATATATTTGTTTACATCCCTCGTTTGGCTTTAAAATTATATGAATCCACATAAAAGTAGGATTGGATTTGCCAGTTGGATCCACACAAAGATTTACAAATTTTTCTTAAGTGAAAATGACTAAACTTATCATTCACTATTACTCATTTGAATCATAGTCAGTAGAAAATAAACATAATGTGATATTTAATTGGAAAACACGTGTTATGCTTATTGGCAACAATCCCTGTTAAAAAGAAATAGTGCCTATATAGAGAAGAAACAGATGCCCATAAGAAGTTCTACAACATAACTGCATAAAATGAACTACCATGTAAGGAAAGGAAGTCTCAAAATATAACTAGTTTATTGTTCCTTAATTACCAGCACAGCCTGAAAAGGAAAACTTATCCCAAATAAAGTTAGAACAACCAAGCTAAATACCCACCATTATCTGTCCCCTTTCCTTGAGGTGAACCTGGGCCTCACCCACCACATGTCGCAGCTGCCCACCTGTGCCCCTCCCAAGGTGACAGTGTAAGAGGCCTGCTCACTTCTCACCATAGCCTTCTGCTTCATGCCACCCTCAAATTAATCTAACAACACATTTCTGGGTTACGTCACATCCAATTTGATACCTGTTTCTGCTACCTCTACATCCTGATAGTAAAACATGAGGTGACGAAGACCTCCAACAGCAAAAAGCTGATCGATTCTTTCAATCTGGGAAGAAAGAAAAAAGGCAAGGTAAGGACTTTGTTCTGAATTAGAAACTGCATTGAAATCAGCATTCGCTATCATCTTCCTAACTCAGGATTGCATCTGATGCAAACCATAGAGAAGGCATCCTATTTTTTTTATCAGAAACACCCTGAAAGAATAAATGCCTCACATGGTAAAAACTGAATTCAAAGAAATTAATCATAAAATTATTTGCTATATACACACATGTGAAAAGAGATTGCCCCTCCATCTGCTAATATCCTCAAGTGTTGAGCTGTTGAAGGCAGATATAAATATAGATGAGTGTTTCATCTGCACTCAATTGCAGATCAGAAAGAGAGAACAAAGCTTTGAAAACCCAGTCTAACACACTAGAAATAATGATTAATATTAAACTTCAATAATCACTGAAAAATGCCATGAGATCCCATGTGACTATGGAAGAGTACACCCAACGGCAGCCTGGACCTCAGTCCCATCCATGAGGTTGACATACATGGAGAGGTCTGCTGACTGGCCTGCTACCAGTAGAAATGCTTCTTTTAAATAGCTAACAGCACAGTTTTGAATTAAAGTTGAAAGAGAAAGGATAAAATCTACACAGCCATTAGGATGGTGACCGTCAAAAAAAAAAAGAAAATAATAAATGTTGGCGAGGATGTTGAGAAATTGGAACCCTGGTGCACTGTTCGTAGGAATGTAAAATATGCAAAATATTAAAAATAGAATGATGGGCCGGCCGAGTGGCGCGATGGTTAAGAACTCGCTTGGGATGCCAGAGGGCCCCGGTTCGGATCCCACATATGAGGGCCAGTGACACTGCCCTCTACAGCTAAGATGCTGAACAACAGCTCAACCTGGAGCTGGGCTGCCCTGAGTCGCCGGCGACGGCGTGGGCTGCAGTCCCTGTGGCAGTGGATTGCCATGGGCTACCATGTGTGGCCAGCAGCCAGCGTGAGCGGCCAGCAGCCGCAGTGAGCGGCCGTCCAGAAGCCGGCGACTGATCTGCCTCACCAGAGAAGAGCGCAATGATGGTGCCAACTTGGGCCAGTGAAGCAACGTCCTCCACAACTAGATTGAAGAACAAAACGACAGCAACTTGTCTGTTCCCCTTCCCGCAATTCCCCAGCACTGTTCCCATCCCCCCAATTCTCCAATAAAAATCTTTAAAAAAAAAAAAAAAATAGAATGACTATATGATCCAGAAATTCCACTTCTGGGTATGTATCCAAAAGAATTGAAAGCAGGGTCTTACAGAGATATTTGTACCCCCATGTTCATAGCAGCATTATTCACAGTGGTCAAAAGGTGGAAGCAACCCAACTGTTCATTGACAGATGAATAGATAAACAAAATGTGATACATACATACGATAAAATATTAATTAGCCTTAAAAAGAAGGTGAATTCTGATACATGCTACAACATGATGAACCTTGAGGACATTTTGCTAAGTGAAATAAGCCAGTCATAAAAAGACAAATACTATATGATTCCACTTATATGAAGTATCTAAAGTAGTCAAATTTACAGGGAGAAGGTAGAATGGTGGTTGCCAGGGGCTGTGGGGAGGGGCAATGGAAAGTTGTTTTATGGTATGGAGTTTCAGTTTTCCAAGATAAAAAGAATTCTGAAGATTAGTTACACAACAATGTGAATGTTCTTAAAACTACTAAGCTGTACCCTTAAACATGATTAACGTGGTAAATTTTATGTTATGTGTATTCTACCATGATTTAAAATAAAACATTTTTAAAGGATAAACTCTAGCCTGAAAAATTTAAGTGTGAAAATAAGCCCCCTTCAGTTTCCACCATGTCATAGATAAAACCATTAAATATAAGGAAAAGCAAGTTGCCCTGTTTCCTTCGTTACATCCTCTTGCTTGAGGATGCTGTGGGAATGACTCGGACGTACTCCGTGAGATTAACTTCCAAGCCAAGAAGGTGGTGGAGATACTTCCATCACAGCCAGTATTGAAACTCCTGGCCTTCTAGCCATACTTGTAAGTTAAGCCATGATGGTTTTTTTAAACCTCCAGGTTTTAACAGTCCTGGGTCCTCACTGTGGCATAACAGAGTGACTTGGTGTTCTTCCAGTTCAGAACTTTTACTCATTGATCCCACCTGCGCTATCCCAAATCCAGATGTCTGAATTGGGAGATAGGGTAGAGTTAAACAATCCACTTTGAAAACAATCTCTCCAAGACTGAATCAGCTATGTGATCCTGTCTCTTCTGCAAATAATATTATTTGTGAAAAAATGCCTCCATTTTTTGCAAATAGTACTATCTACCTCTTGGTAATATGAAGATTAAATGGGATAATAGATGAACTTCACTTAGAACTGAGATGGACACATGGTAAATATTCAATAACCATTCGCTGTGATGAGGGGGGACAAAGAGGAGGAAAGAGACATTTCCTCAATCCCTGATTGATTCATCCTGTAGTTTAAACATTTTAGTGTTATCTACCCTTAACTGTCCCACAGACTCCTATTAACCCCACCAGAGTGACACAGCAAAAAAGAACAAAGCCAGTGGAGTGCTGGAGCCGGCTTGTACTGACTCATGACAGCCAACTGCTCATAACTCCTCTCAGCTTACCACTTAGTATTACCACACTGGTAGTCTGGAATCAGCCACGGTGGGAGTATTTACACACCAGAAATCAGTAAACACTCAAACCAGTGCTTTCCTCCACCTCCTGCCCAAAGTGTTAGCTGTTGAGCATTTATAATCCTACCATTGAAAAGCATTATCAAGAGTGTGACACCTCTGTCAACAACCCGCCCACCACCACCACCACCTCTTTAAAGCCTAATAAGAAGAGAAGAAGAAAAACCTTCAGGAACCATCATAGGTCCCTGACATACATTCCCCACTGCCCAGGAAATTACACCCTCCCATATTTTGATCTTCCCTACCCAAGATCAAATCATACCCTAGGTTTTAGAGGAAAATCGTAGCAGAAAATGGAAGTCAAGATCAGGAACAAAAAACCAGATTCAGCTACCAAACCAAAGTCAAAACCAGGAAACAACAGCACAATTCAATATCCCAGGTTGGAAGGAGGTAAGTTCAAAAGAAGATGAATCAGCCTCCGAGAGGAGATTCTGTTCTCCAAACTCAGGTTCCAAAATGGTGCCCGAGCCCAGCTTCATTGTATACGGAGAGATGCAGACATCGCCATCAGAACCGTGGAAATGACAGCGATAAGTACCCCCATTCAACATAAAGAGCTGGATAACCCTAAGCTCATTCTGCCACCACCTGTACAGGATCAGAATGGAGTCCTATGCATGTTAAAACAGGCTCCCTCCTCAAAGGCCCAGCATGGGATCTTGCCATAGGACAGTGTCAGTTGACCCTCTGTGCACTCCCCATAGCAAGCCCATGAGAACGCAAATGCATCACACCTGATTCCCTTCAAGAATGGCGTCCTCCACTGCAGTTTTGTTCAGGTCCACGCAGGAAGCTACAATCGCAAATAAGTAGTCATGCCGGCCATCCAAACGCGCCCGCCTGCCTTCCTTCTCTTCCTTCAGCCTTTGCTACAAGAAAGGAGCAAAAATGTTATGTGGCAACTCCTATTCCCCAGTAAATTCATTTTGTAGTAATTTCATGCTGTTGTTCCTTTTTCAAGCCTTGGGTATTCAGATAACAGGCAGCTTCATGGTACCGGTTTTTATAGACGGTCTTCTATTTTTGGAAATAATGTTATTTCTATTATGAAAATAACATGGGCTTATTGTTTTGAAATTGCATAAGAGAGATAAGCCAAAAGAAATAAAAATTATCTGCCATCCAGAAATTATTACTGTTAACATTTTGTTCTAAATCTTTATAGACTTATTTCTATGTATACATAAGCATTCAATACACACAAAAAATGATCCCCATTTTTGTAAACATTCCCTAAGCCATTAAAGAAATATTCTTCTATACTATCTCCTATCTTTGTTTGTCTACAGATTCATATCATCTTGAAATTAATTTCTGAATACCACTGATTACTTTTAAACTGATTATTAATTACAATAACAAAGCGTGTTCAATATAACCAATGTTAGCAGTTTGAGACATATCTTTCCATATGTACTATGCTCATACAAACACATACAAACATAACACACATCTCTATATTATACTATAAAATTTTTCATGCATTTTTTTCCTTAATAATGTATCACAGACTTCTTTCTAGTTTAATACAGGCTATTCCAATCTGTATAATAGTTGCAAAACATTCAGTAATATGGATGAACCATAATTTATTCAACCATTTTGTCATTGGTGGACATTCAGCTTCCAACTTATTTCTTAAGTAAGTTTCCTTTAATGCCCATCAGTAGAATCCACTAGGAAGAGGAAAGGTGGTCCCTACGGATCCCTTCATTTGGTCAATAAACAGCCATTAAATCCCAAGTATGTCCCAGCACTATAGAACTCTAGCCTGGGGCTGAGGAGGGGTACAGATGGTAATACAGAAAAACTGTCAGGAAGAGGTGACTTGAGCCCAGAGCTGAAGGATGGTTGGCCACACTCCCTGGGACAGAGGCATCTCTGCATGTGCAAAGGCCAAGAGGCATAAGAATGCACAAAACATTCTGGAAACCATAAGGCAGCCAGGATGGCTGAACTAAAAAAGACTGGAAAGACATGATGGGAAATGAAACAGAAGTCAGGTCATGAAACATCTCATGGGCAACATTAGAAGGTTTAAACATTATCTGAGGTCCACAGAGGATCACTGATGAGTTTCAAACCAGGCGAGATGTTTAGCTGCCCATGCTGCATCAAAAAATAAATTATTCTGACGGCAGTGTGGAAAGTGGACTGCAGTGACGCAAGCCTAGAGGCAGTAAGACCAGTCAGGTGGATGACAATGGCATTTCTAGAGTCTGCACACTGGGACTGTGCAGCCAGAGCTCAAGGAGAAATTGCATTGCAGACACAGTGATAGAGGTTCTCAGTCCAGCACAACTGAGGTTATGGGCCAGCCCATTCCTGTGTGAGGGGTGGTCCATCATCCTTGCGCTATACCTTCTAGATGCCAGCAGCTCCCCACCACCAAACTGTAAGAACGAAAAACGTCTCCAGACATTGCCCAACGTCCCCTGCATGACAAAATCACCCCCCGCTGAGAACCAGTGAAATAAAATAATTATGATAGACACATATAGACAGTGTATACTATAAATGGCATTTTCAGGGGTGCGGGAGTGCAGACCCTGCACAATTTTAATATCAGCCCTTTTATCCAAGAAATGGTATGGGAATACTAGTTATTCAATAAATATTTGTAAAATGAGTGAATAAATCAGTTTAAACCATGAGTGCAGATAGGATTTTCTAAGAAATTCATGGATAATGAAGAAACAAGAAGGTGAAGAACCGTGGGGAACAGCAATATGCCAGGAGCAAGGAGGGAAAGAGGAACAAATGGAGAAGCCGGAGGATGAGTGGGAAGAGAGAGAGAAAGAAAAGCAGGAGGCAGCACTACCAATAAACCTGGAGGGTGACCAGCAGTGCTAACGCTCTAAAAGATTGGTTGGGCCAATTAGGATATCCCTAGTAATTGTGTTTACAAGATGACTACAGCACCCCACAGCTCTTCTGTAATGTGACCATGCCACTAGCCTACCAAGAGACTCTATATCCCTCCTCTTAGATTTGGCTTGCCTTGTGACCAGTTTTCACCAAAAGATTATGGGGAGAAGACAGACTGTGTGAAACTTCCTAGGCTGATTCTTAGGAGACCTTAGGCTTCTGCCTTTGCACTTGGGAATGCTCTCTTGGAACCCAGCCACCATGCTGTGAAGGCCAAGTCACATGGGGAAAAGACATGGAGAAACAACCAAGGCATCTGGTCAACAGCCCAGCCGACCTCCTAGCTGACAGACCAGAAGAACTTTCAAGCTGTCATGGACATCCCCAAACCTAGTCAAGCCTGAAGATGACTGTAACCCAACCAATGCCACGTGAAACAGAAGAACAGCCCAGCAGAGCCCAGCCACCCACAGAATCAGAAGAAATAACAGACAGGTGTTGCTGCTTCGGGTCATGCAGCTCTGATGTGGTTTGTTATGCAGCAGTAGATGACATGGTAATCCCTGTTAGAATCATTTCACTGGTTGGATAGAAAGCAAATGGATTGTAGACTTGAGAAAAGAATGACTGGGAAAAGGGAACTGTAAAGCTACTGGCTATAAACTACTCTTTCTAGAAACTCTACTATAAAGGAAAGAGGTGTAGTACTAGTAGGTTGAGGGGAATTTGGAGTCAATGAAGAACTACTTAAGATACAAAAAACTTTAGAAAAAGTAAATACTAGTAAAAAGTTGGGGATTTCAGAGCAATTGAAAGGCCATCACTAGATCTATGCAATTTACATTCATTTTTCAGAGTCTCAAAGAACTACTTTAAGAGAAGTCGGGGATAGGGGTGGGGGAGTTAAAGTTAAAAAAAAAAACTAAACAGTATACCTATTTTCTTGCCGTTTCTCCAAAAAGAAACTAACTCAAGTCCAAACACAAAGTATACATTCTATAACCGTCCAATAGAAATAAATTTAAATCTCTTTTCAAATGTGGCTAAAACCAGGAAGATATCCTGTTTTATTTTCTACGTTCCTGGCAGGGAGGAATAAAACCCTTTCCTCAGAGTGATTTCTCTGAATTTGTCCTAAATGTCCTCAAAAGCTTAAGAACACAGTGGGCCACTGGAAAAGCCAGTAATAAGCAACAAAACAGCAAGACGGCAAATGCTGGATGAAAAAAAAGAAAGAAAGAAAAGAAGTGGAGAGCCAAAAGGGTCAGAATGTGACACAACTGAAGGCTTCCAAAGAACATAGAAACTGAAATACGATTCTGTTATGTCAACATTTTATAAGATTCCAAGGGGATATATATATATATATATATATATATATATAATATACATATAACTAACACCAATTATTCTATTTTTACGTAAATATCACAAAGAAAAAAAACCTCCAAGGCAGTTTTATGACTACAAAACAATCAATGTATTTTTAAAGTAAATGTTTCCAGAGCTATATGAAAAAGCAAGTTAGGCATTAAGTATGTTGTCACATACACTGATTGTTCTATTTGCTAATGACAAGCAGCATGAAGCAAACCCCAGTGCCACGTAGATGAAAGACCACAACGGTGATCAATCTTAGCTTTCGCTGCCTTATACTAAGGTATCCTGGTACCAAGAGGGACTTCTTTTTTTTTTTTTCACTACCACAAAAAGTCAATAATGTCAAGCAAATATTTAGTAATCAGACCCGTGCATTGTCAGTCCATGAACTTAAACCTGCAGCTTTGTGGCTGCTAGGGAACTGCAGCAACAAGGAGTCAGGTGACTAGCTGTCTAGTGGTGGCTTGTCCTGTGGCCTTTGAAACATCTGGGACACTTAGAGAGTGAGGGCGGGGTGGGGTTAAGAAGAAGAGAGGCAAACTATGGAATTTTATTTTTAAGAGTCACATTCAAATTGTTTTGCATCGCATGAGCAAGTACAACAGAGAGGGGTGAGGAAGATGGCCAGAAACCTATCTGATGTCCAAGGAAATCTGGAACATGTTATTAAAACATTTGTGCAATCTGGTGACAAAGTATATTAAGTACTACCACCTTGGAATGAAAGAATGACTAATGTGCTCTCTCACATGAAATAGATGCTGCTTTCAAGGCGGGACAATTTCATGTAGACAAAAAGCCTGGGTGTCAGAGGTTCCAGTCCCAGCTCTGCCACTATTTGCAAGACCTTGCATCTGTCATTTAGCCTCTCCAGGCTTCAGTTTCCACAACTCCAAAATCAAACTGTGGGACCAGGTGACAGCTAAACTCCATGCCTTCTCTAATCCTTGGACCATTTCTCATTGGTTCAAAAGTCAACACAGGCCAGAGAACTTGAGTTTTTAATGCACGAATCCCAACAAAGACCCAATGCTATGTGCTTTCATAATAAAACTCTGTGACTTCTTCTCATGATAAACCCATCCACCCAATTTTTTTGCCTTTTACTGGAGAACCCAAGCCCATGTCTACATGTTTGTGTCCATAGACTGTGTATGAACTACACACATTTCATTTTGGTTCCGGGTTGATAACCCCAGACTATACGAAAGACCTCACCCTCATCTGTAAAATGGAGAGAAAAGTCCAAACTTTAAAGGTATCTGTGAAGATTAAATTGGGTGCAATCTTGAGATAATAATACTAAGTCAACCAGCGCTTGAATTAAAATGGCAGGGCCACGGCTTTGACCCTGGACATCAAACCTCAGGTAAAACAAAATGTTTTAATGATGATTTTTTAATTGTACAAATGTTTAAGCTCCCTCCATCCTTAGAAAGCTGGGCCCAGGTGGCAGGGTTGCCCCACACCCAGGCCCACCCCACTGACAACATGTGCAGCTAGAAGTGGATGGAGGATGGAGCCTACAGGTCCAGGAGCCCCTTTGTGGCTGAGCAGGGACACCGTTTCCCCAACCCTCAGGAGGTTATCAGAGGACATTTTGCTCTGTTTGCCCTGGTTG